CTCAAAAATCAGCTTTTAACATAAACGATTTGGTCTAATTACGGACTGTTTTGACCACCTTAATTATAATATTTTTGAAAACTGTTTTACATGCAAAAGGTTCAGGTTTATACCTTTAAAATGACTACTCGCACGCATTCATACGATTTTTCTACAATGTTTGGCGATTTTTACAAAACTGTCTATCATTTCAGGAATGATCTCGGACCAGTCTGTGAAGATGAACATTTTCACCCTGGTTTGAGGCCATTAAAAATCTTAATAAAAATTAAGAATAATGTAGACTCATTTTCCAAACTCTCAGAGTTTACGGATCTGAATTTCGACTTACGATGATTTTTCTATAATTTTTCTAAAAACAGGGACAGAAAGGTCAAAAACAAAAAATTATTTTTATCATGCTAAAAGCTCTTATACCTATGTTAGATGCAAGTTTGTATAACTTATATATACTTTTAAAACATATAGACATGTCAACTTATATATATTCTTTCCTTTATTGGGTCAGGTAAATTAATTTACATGTTTAGTGGGCCTTAGTGTTCTTTTACATGTTTAGTGGGCCTTAGTGTCCTTTTACATGTTTAGTGGGTCTTAGTGTCATTTTACATGTTTAGTAAGCCTTAGTTGTCATTTTACATGTATATTGGGCCTGGGATATACATTCATATTCCTTTTGAGCCTGGAAGTAATATACATGTTGAGTGTGCCTTAGTTGTCCACTTACATGTTTATTGGGCCTAGAATATACCTTATATGTTTTTCTTTCTTTTTCCGCATAAATTCGATTAAGGATCTAGTGAGACGTATCAGTTGACACCTATTGAGTGTACAATCGTAGCCTGTAGTTATAACCAGAGTCTCCTGGAGGGAGAGCGGGAGTTTGTGTATAGATCTATACGGGGATGACACCCCACATCTGAGCTATTCGCTACAGTTAGACTAGGCTAGTCTAGGGTGACAAAAACCTTATCTTATTCCGTCGGCGTCCGAAAAACGCCATGCCAGGCGAAATTGTCATTATCTAGTATGGTTATAACGGCTCACTTAGAGGAATTAACGTTATAAAATTCACGGGAAACCTTCTTTTTGGATAAAACGGTAACCTATACGCGCTGGTACTCAACCTCGGGGGTTGAGATTCCAACATTCTCTTACGCAGACAACATCGGGTTGTCTGAGATCATTCTCTTTTTATTTTCGCAAACATTAACACATGTGTATTAATATAAGATCGGACACAAACATTTCAAACCATTTCTTTTTAGAAAATATCGGACTTTCTGGGAACGTTCACTTTACTTTTACAAACAAAAGATAACAAAGGACATGCATGCATATATTCACAGTTTTGGAACGAGACTTACAATACATTTTCATAGAAAATATCGGATTTTCTAAAAGAACTAAGAGAACTATTCTAAACAAGTGCAAAACCATTTTTATACAAAAATGCTTATGAACTCATCAACTTTTTAATTGACGCTTTTCAAAACGACTTGTATTCTCAGGGATCCAGTAACAGGTAATAAGCTCGGCTATAAGATCAAGTGGCGACTTCAAGAAATTTTACTTTTCTTACTTTTGTGTAACTGATGAACAAGTTCAATATGTAAACTATGTAAGTGTGTATTTCCAATGTATGATGTTTGGTTGCTATGTTTCATTCATAATCAATTGTTATGATACTGTACATGAAGTCATCCGCCCCCGGACGTTTCCGTCGTCCCGGTTCGGGGGTGTGACAGCTAGGGTTTTCAGATGGGGGGTTTCGCGACTGGAAATCGACGGGGAGACACCTGGGGATGATTTTTCTCTGTTGTTAAGCCTCTGACGAGGTTTTTGTCATCGATCAAGAGGGTCATCGATCTGGGTTACATCTCCACACCACCGTTGGATCCTCTAGCCACAGATCTGAACATATCTGAAGCCGACGAGCATGGTGACGGGGTGTAGCAGTGGTCGGAGGTGAGGAGTATAGTAATGTTTCCAACACCACCAGTAAAACGAGAGTCAAAGGGTGAAGCAAGAACGGCGATGACGTTTGTTCATCCTCAACAGGAAGGGTTTCACAAGAACGATTTTGAAACGGTGAAGTCTGTGGCTCGATTTTACACCGTCTTCGCCGTCTCCGACGACGGCTATGAGCTTCGAGATACAGACACAATGACGTTAGGGGTAGGGTTCGTCGGAGACGCCTCTTTCCCTCTCTTTCAAATCTGCAAATTCTTTCTCTGGTGGGGTCATCATCAAAGATCTGGAACGCCGTCTCCATTCGTTATCGTTGGAAAATCGAGCCACAATTGGAGGCAACGATCCTAGATCTGAATTCTGGTAGCGAAATGGGTGGCACAACGAAGTCGTTGACGAAAAATGCTAGAGTTCCAGCAAGAGGTGGTGGTCCGACTGGCGGTGGTCATCCAGTTGGTGTGGTGGTCCGACAACTTTGGAGAGAGAGAGAGAGAGAGAGGGTATTTTATTTTGTTTTATTTTTAATTGTTTTTAATTGTTGGTAATAAAATAAAAATGAAAATTTAAATAATAAGGGGCAAAATCGTATTTACAAAAAAGTTCAAACCAAATTGGACCAAACTCGCAACAAAATGAAACTTTTGGACCATCCTTACGGTCCAAACTTGTTTGGACCAAACTTGCTAGTTTTGACATACCACAGGGACCATTCTTGCAATTTTGTCAAAAGATCTAATCCATTGAACCCTAAATCGCCTCTCCACCGCCATTGGTGCTTCGTTCTCCGCCGCTCACAAACATGACAGAAGTTCATCGTCGTCTGTATGGTCATTTTTGGAAGTCGATGTAGGGGTGGAGACTGGATTAGAAAAAACGACGACAAATAACTTTTGAAGAGAATGAAGAAACCGCCATAAGCAGAAGGTATGACAGTTGTTGGGGGTTTCTGATCACTACCACTTTACACCCTTTCTCAGTCCGCTGTCTCCATTCTTGCTGACCACAACGGAATCGCACCACCGTGTTTTACAGTCCATTATTGGGAAGAGATGGAAGGTAAATTGATGCTTGCCGTCGATTTTCAAGAATTCATTCCTTTATTTCGATTAAAATGACTAAATATCAAAACTTAACTTCACCGCCACGCACCACGGCCAAGCCGGACGATCGACGTAGTATCGGCATGTGAAATCGATGCCTTGGTGCGTTTTTTGGTTCATATACGTGTTTATGTGTTCCTAGTTTGAGAATATGTGTTTTGTGATTTGTTGTGCCCAAGAATGAATGGACTCAGATTTCGGCTATATCATATGCTTTCAGTGTAATACCAACGTAAAGTAGAATAATTTCTTGAAATTCTTTACCTTCATTTGCATTTGATGTTTTTTGATTTATAAGAACAAGTTAAAAAAAGCTGAAACTTCACTGATTCCCGATGTTTAGGTGATATTTAATTTCGATTTACCTATTTAAAACGATATCTTCTGGTTCTTGAATAAGAAATGGGGTGTACCTGCAAATAACAAACAGTTTTATTTTGTGGATGCTCTGATTAAAAAATCTGAATTTGGATTTTTCAATCTATCAGTTTTATTTTCTTGGGGGAGGTTCCTTTTGCTCGATCCTCACTTAATCATGATGACATTTTTATCTTGGATACTGCAAATAAGATATTCTATTGCCATATCAACAAAACCCAATCTCTAATGAATTTTACTCTGCATTGATATAGATCATCTTTTCACTTATTTTGGTCTTTTCTTTTATCGGCCTAACTATTTTGCCAATCTGTAACGGGAGCTGGAAAGATTGTAGTATAGAATAGTATTTTGGTAGTTGATGTTTAGGACAAGAGGTTGTGACCAATATGAGTCATGAAGACATCATATTTCCATTTCTTCGTTTTAAAGCATTATACTTTGAAAATATACCCACTTTCTTCCCACATCTTTTTGAATGTTATCCATATCATTAATTTCTTTTGGCTATGTACTAATGTTGTGAATGTCATGCATATTATCATATAACGAGACTTTGCATGTCATTAATGTCCTTTTCCTACATAGTAATGCTATCATACCACCCAAGGTTCTAAATAACGTTAGCCGTGGGCTTGGTGGCAAGGTCAAAGTTAAGTCATGGCAAGCTTTGACGAGCTATGACGTTTTTCAATACGTGATTATTTTATATAAATTTAAAAAGATAAATCATATAATTATTGAATTTTATCAAATATATCATGTATTTAGAAGTGATATATTAATATATTAATATAAAAAAGTTAACAAAAACTCAATTATTTTTGGGCCGATTAGAAAAAAACAAAAAAATCTCGCGCCTTGAAAAAAAAATTTGCGCCTTAACGCGATAAGGCGTGCCTTGACATGTTATTTGAGAGTCGCACTTAAAAAATCTGCATTTGACGTTTTCATAACGGTTAGGTCACGCCTCGTGCTATGGCACACCTTGAGGCGCGCCATGGCACGATATGACGCGCTTTTTAGAACCATGATACCACTAGACTTTATTCGGAAAGTCGGAAAATCAGAATCAAATTCACTTCAAAAAAACCTCCAACCCATGCGAAGCATGGGCCTCCATTCTAGTTTGAATTAATTTTTCAATGAAATTATAAGGTTTTAAGCGTTTTTAATATTCAAATGATGAAAAATATGAAAAGAAACAAACGTATATTTAAAGTCCCTACTTTTATGAAGAAAATCATTATTTTTCATACAAATAATGATTTAATTTTCAATTGATGAATAAAATAGAATCAACGTGTTCATTAATTTTAGTATTAAAAAACAAGGGAATTTGCTAAAAAAAAAGTCCTTATATTTTGATATTATTGACAAAGAAGTCATCCTTTTTCTAATAGTTTAATCATTGAAACCAGTAAACACTTGCAAAACAACCTTGTACCGGTTTTAAGGTCAAATTGCAAAAATAAAAAAAATAATAATAAAAAGTCGTTTATGGCTTTTTCGTTAATAAGGTTAAACTTTAAGGAACTTTTTTGGAGATTTTATTTTTTTATATACTAGGTGTGAAACCCGTGTACTACACGGGTTGATTTAAAAAATCTATATATGAAGATATAAATATAAAGTATTTTTTTTAAAGAAAACATTAAATATCAAAGTGTAAACATTAAGTATTTTTTAAAATAAAATTTCAAAAT